GTGGAGACAGGTGCCTTCCCGAGTTAGGCATCAATGGCTCCCGGCACATGCGTGTTGTATAAGCACATGCTGGGAACGCGCGGTGTGTGGTGTTCACGGGCATCCCACAGGTGCATTTCCTGCACCTGCTTTTTTCACTCGACACGGCACTTTTGAGCTCTGTCCACACTGACGGTCATGCGGGGGTGGGATGGCCCCGGTGGTTACCCGTCCTCCACCAATGGGCCCGGGTCATTTTTTGCCAAAAAGGATGTCTTGGTTTATTCGTTCTAAATATTTCCCTCCCGAGTCCAGAATATCCAAACATCTCCAAGAGTCTGGGCCACAGTCCCATGGGCCTCAGCAGCGGGCCCACACCAAATGGTGTCTTGGGTGTTTAAGTGCCCGGAAACCCAGAGAATGAGGAAGCGCGGAGTCAGGGCCCTTGGACTGGGCTGTGGAGGGAGGGGCTTGCAGCCCCCCCCACCCCTGCCCCATCCCAGGAGACGGGCTCCGCCTGATCTCGGATTTCCAACACTGGGGTTCCTTGTGACGTGGATTTGTGCAACATGTTCTAACTGCTAAAAAGTAAGTTTGAACCCGGCACTCAACACGATTTAGGAAAAGCTATGCCTTGGCCGGTGTGATTTGCTAAGAATGTTCTACGGCTGAAAAACCCAGCGGAAATCCACGCTTCTAGACAACGTGTAGGAAAGACGTACCTCAGCCAGCACGTGGGAGGTAAAGGCGGAGGCTCCGGGCACCTGCTGTTTGGAGTTTTGCAGAGTCAAAGTTCAAGTGTTGGCGGCCGGTCCTGCTCATTGTGGGGCCCCGGCCGGCCGGGGGAGGGGGCGTGTGGCACGGACCCCCCTCTGGAGCCGCGTAGGGTCCGCTGACATAGCCTGTGCGGGCCGGGCTGCCGGTCACGGGACACACCTCACATGGGCCCCGCTGACTGAGCGTCCTGACGGCCGGTCGGGTCCAACCCCAACGGTGTCGTCAGCTCTGCCCCCGCTTCGTGGGTGCTTTAATCTCTGCCGCGTCGAGGAGGGAACTGAGGTGCAGAGAAGTTCAGGAACTCACCCAAAGTTGCCAGGCAGCTGAGGGGCCGGGCCCGGCTCTGGACCAAGGCCAGCTAACTCCGGAGCTCACGTTTCTGACCCCTGTGCCCTTGGTGGCCGCTTATTGAACGTGTGGCTGCGTGTGGGTTAGTTTTTATTCCTTTGCAAGACTTTGCATCAATTAATTTACAGCTCGGGGGGAGAATATCCTTCACTAGATCTTTGCCTTGATTTTTTGGGCGGGGGGGGGGGG